CCACCCCCCCCCCCCTCCACCCCGTACTTTGATAAGAGGACAGAAACAAGGGCAGTAGTTGGTAGAAAACGGTTTCTTTCGTTGAGACCTTTAATTAGAATACAATGGCATCATAACTTTACTTCTAAGCAGGGGGTGGGGGGGGGGCGAGCATAAAACCGCAAAACGTCCCCCTCGTGTTCTACCTCTACGGCGTCCCAACTTGACTTCTGTGTGTGTGGGAGGAGGGGGGGGGGACGTGACGCGTTGGAAACTCCACGACGTCGCGCGTCCTTCACCTTCTCGCCCCCCCCCCCTTTCTATGGTCACGTTTTCGAGTAATTCGCGAAAAAGTCCGCTACGAACGTATAAAGTCGCGACTTTACCTAAATGGCCTAGCGGGAGCACTTCTGGCCCTCCACCTCCGGGAGAGGTGGAGAAAGGTGAGTCGAACCGGACTGAAAAAATGTCGGGAACTATTTCTCTAGGCTATATCGATTCACGTCTTCCACCAAACAAAACCACCACCAAACAAAGGCTTCTCCAACAGGGTCGTTTAACGTCTGGTCCGCTTATCTAAACCCTTTCTGTTTCCTCACTTCCGTTCCTCCTTGCTTAACAAACTAATGCGCGTCTTCTAAAAAATCAAACCACACATGCACTTTCTAAAGTAAAGCCCGTTTGACATGCTGAAAGTTATCATGAAACTCGAAAGTGAAATAACGGAAATTTGTAAAGTGACAGATGTGCTTTACATGCTGTCTATTTCACTTTCACGTGAAATTTTGCTAATACCGACCTAAAAAAATATAAGTTAGATCGACGCCTTTCATAACTTTTGTAATTATTGAATTTCAGCACCGACAATCGCTCTGAGTTCACGAGAAAATATTTCGCTAAATAATCTGTCTTTATGTACTTCCATCAACACAAATGTCAAATGGCCATCAAATGACAAAAAACAAAACATTAATTTTTCCAATCTTAGAGTTGGCAGCTGAAAGTGAAATATTTCACGTCCGAACCGAAAAGTTGAAAGATATTTCACTTTCCAGAAAAGCAGAAAAGTTCTTATCGTAAACTGGAGATAAACTTTGACAATAACTAATAATTTCCAGATGTTTCTCATTGTACTAAAACAAAATAACTTTACAACAAAATAAACAAATTGAACAAAGCAATTAGGTATTTAAACAAAATTAAGATAATTAATAATTAATTAAATAAAATTAATTAAAAAAAATACGAGGCTACATACCATGCACCTAGGTTCCAAGTAGACAGAGTGTCAACATCGGTGATCCAGTGCTCACTAACACACACCACATCAAAGTTCTTATCAATTAGAAAAGTTTCAAGGACATCCAATTTGTTTTTGAGGCTTTGAATATTAATATGAAAAACAGTTACCGCATTTGGGCCGCCCCAGTTACCCGTTGGCTCACCACTCATTCCTTTGTGTTCACGATCGGTCGTTTGTGAAAAAACCGGTTGATGCAAGCCCCAGAAGGCCATAATGATGGATCCATGATTTTGTCCTTATGGATATCATGCACCGTAACCTTAAAGGACGAGTAGTAGTTAGGTTGCTTTGATTGAAGTTGTTCACAGATCACTTCGGGAAAAGTCTCCTTCAGGTAATCGTGTAGCATTTCAGAACTGGTCTCAGGGTCCAGTTTATATACATGAACGTAAACCCTATTAACCGCCGCTTTGATGCTGCACTGCGCTTCAATTGCTTTGTTCCCCACGACCACATTTTCACGTTTGGATTTTTTCCTACTTACAACTTTCCAATCACTTTCAGATTTCTGACTTACTTTTGCATTGGTACCCTTATACTCGCTTGAGGACTTTTTTACAGCAGCCACGTATGACACAGATTCTGAACATTTATTTCCAGAACCGGTATCTTTTGCTACGACTTCGGTCGCAGAACTACTAGATGGGTGTCGAGCTTTCCTCGAATTTTTTTTATTTACGCTCCCCTGAGATGATCCCCGGGTTTCGTTAACAGAAGCTCATTTCCCTGCAGCCGGTTGGGTTGCATTAGGTACATTTATTTTGGTTATCGAGGTAGAGGTCAAACTATTCAATAACTTATCATCTTCATTCAATAGCGCTGATTGCAGTCTGTTTGCAAGGACGTTTACATTCTGTAGTGCTTCAATTGTTAATTTTTGGTAGTCTATCACCTTATCTTTTTCCACTAGTAAGTCTTTCAAGTACTTAATTTCCACTAAAAGCATCTCCATTGAAACACTGGGGATTTGAAAGTTATCGTCATTAGATTTTTGGTTAACACTTTCACAGCAGTATAATAGCTTATCGTCCACAATTTTTACACCTTGCAGACGTTTAGCGCAGCCTGGATGGTACACAGATCCACAAGAAATACACTCCAAAAATGCTTGAGGTGTTCTGTTACACTTTTTACAAATTTTCTCATGAGATGGTTCAAGTACGTCCGCACCGCTCGCCGGCATCGTCAACTATTCAAGGCTTTGAAAGACGTTTGAACACTGTAGCAACATTTATAGATGTTTCAAAAGCTTTCGATTGTGTCGCGTATGATATTTTAATTAGTAAACTCAGATGCATTTATAATTTTGGTTATAATAGCGCCAACTTGTTAATGTCTTATTTAAGTAATCGTTTTCAGTGTGTATCTTTTAACAATCAACGTTCGGATGTTTTACCGTTAAGAAGAGGAGTACCGCAGGGGTCCATTCTTGGTCCCTTGCTGTTTCTTATATATGTTAACGATTTACCTCTGTGTCTTCCATCTAATGTAACCTGCATCTTATATGCTGATGACGCGACGCTTATTTCCAGCGAGAGTGATGCTAGGTTAGCTTTTGCTAAATCTAATGATAGTTTAAATTTAGTTAAGGATTGGTGCCTAGCAAACAAATTGTCAGTGAACACTACAAAAACAGCCCTCATGAATTTTACTTTAAAAAAATCGGACTCAGGTACTTACGTTACTGTACCGCATGTTAAATTCTTAGGATGTGTTATTGATTCACGTTTAAGTTTCGGTCCTCAGTGTGAGTTGGTTGCTAAGAAACTATGTAAATCAATATTTCTCTTACGTCGACTTGTTAGCAACGTCTCTAGTAATATTGTTAAAGCAGCATATTTTGCTTTAGTACAAAGTACCTTGTGCTATGCAATATTGACCTGGGGACATTGCTGCTCTTGGCATAAGCTGTTTAAATTACAACGAAAAGCTGTTCGAGTCATCGCCGGGCTTGGTTATCGTGATGATTGTCACAAGGCTTTCAAAAACCTTAGAATATTGACGTTTCCTTCATTATTTATATTGGAAGCAGTTTTGTATATTAAGAATAATATATCTATGTTTAATCAGCAATCAGATAAACATGACTATAACACAAGACACAAACTAAATCTGAATACAAAATTCTGCAGATTGTCAGTTACGCAAAATGGAACTTTGTTTCAGGGTCAGTCTCTTTACAACTGTCTCCCTTTAAATGTTAGAAATCTTAGTGTCAAGGAACTTAAGGTGTCTTTAAAAAACTATTTGTCCCGTAATGTATTCTATTCTTTTGAAGAATTTGTTCAGTCCGTTAGAAATGTTAACTGTATTTAGTTAGTCATGTAATTGTTGATACGTTTGTTTTCTTATGTATATTGTTCTACATGTTTTTTGACGCATGTAAGTGCTTTGCACGATAGCATTAAAATATTATTATTATTATTATTATTATTATTATTATTATTATTATTAAATAATTAAAAAATTCTGATACATTGGCCTCGAATTGAACGAATATGATCGGATTTTACTCTAAAAATGACCGACCACATTTACGCTTTAAAATAATTAAAATGCACATACAGTGTGTCCCATCAATATTGCAATTTGCAGGTGTCGATGCCAAATAAAACGCCCGCATGTATATTTTGAAATTAGAATTTTTTGTCTTTATTTGCTACTTATCTAGTCGCGACCTTTTTCAGTCATATGGCAAATGGTCCATTCTTCTTAAAAAAATTGTTTGAAATTTTTGTTGTATTGAGCTACCCGTCGGCATAATTTTACAAGACAGTAACATTTATTTTTTATATGATCTGAAAATTGAATCAGAATTATTAGTACGAGCGGGATTTTCAGTCCTGGTTTTGTAACTACCGGTTACAAATTTGACCTGCACATGTTCACAGGTGATGTGTATCTTAAAATTCCTAAATAACGCACGTGCGTATGCGGCGTAACCCTTTCTCAAAAAAGTATGAGTTCAGGATGCCATCTCCAACGACTAATATTGGAGTGAGTTTACCTCGAGCGCAAAATACGAGGAGTCAGACTGAATGCTACCTTTTGCTACCCCTTACGCGTAAATTATAGGGAGACGTTTATGAAACTTGAGTTTATAGTAGATTTGCCTCATCGTAATAATTGAGATCTGATGATAGATTTAGTTCATTTCCGTAGTTAAAATACCCCGTTCCTTATTACCCTTATTCAGAATTTATTCAAGATCTATATTTCTGGCAACATTAATTAAATATGATATTCGTGTGCTGGTAACATCTAATCAATGGTGCAACGTGCAACGAAGTTTATATGTGAAAATTTACAAATGTTGCTACTAGCTAGTGTGTGAGGTGTGACGGAAATTTTCATTCACACAAAAAGTGAAAATCACATGTTATTATACGATGGTTTTATTCAATCTGAATATTAAATAATTTAGTCCATTCAATCCTTATGCCGCCGCTTAATATGTCAATTAATTCTTTATTATATGTAATTGAAACTAATGATATCTTTCTGCTAGCGTACCAATTTTAAAATTACAAAATGTCAACGTCCTCTTTACAGCCAATTTATTGCAATAAGCACGACGAATCTCTGCTTTCCAAGCTACACTGAGTTGTTGGAATCTGTTTATTGATTGATGATTGCTGAAATTTTAGAGCTTTCAGTGGGAGGTCGATTGTAGCGTAGCGCCGTACACGGCGAGATTATGAACACAATTTTCCGATACGCGGAATACAACACAAACTGTTCCGTATCGCACAAACGCACGTAAAATAATTGCAATAACATGTGATAAATAAATCCAGTGATAGTTCCCGTCGAAAGGCCAATGAATTTGGTAACAGTGAATTTATAATTAATTACCCTGAATTAATTACGGAATAAGTAGGCTGTGTTTTTAATGTTTCTATTAATATTGATTAAGTAAAGGCAAACGTTTGATATCAAACTTATCTCGAGGACTGTTAAGATAAAATTTTGATAAATTCTTTACCTGCACGAGTTTGTTGTGCGGTTTAACTTTGAAGTCAAAATTAGACTACACGTGACTCAAAACGGAACTGCCTTATTATAAAATAGTAAAACATCGTTATTTACGTGGTGGCCACTTTGAAAACTGCTGTGTGACGTTAGTGAATCGACGACGTTTAATAATGTAATTTTCAAAATATGAGCGAAACAAATGGGGTGTCAAAAGAGCAAAACGAAACGGAAACGGAAGCACTCGCTCCTGCTACGTATAAAAGAAGTTTGTTGACGCAAATTTCGGAAGGACCGGAAAGTTTGGACAACTCGCTTAATAATGGATTTAAAGCGTGGAGTAAGTTGCAAAATAATGTTATAATTAGCATCTCTAAACTGTGTTATAATATGCAAGGTCCTCTATAATTAAATCGCCATTAGTCGGACACGTTTTGGGACCGGGGCATACTTTTTTATTTATAGACGTCTTTACTAATTAAAACCGTAGGTATCTAATATGACTTGACGTCCTTTCAGAAGGTCTCACGTTACGTTGTTTACTGAAAAATCGCGAAATTTGAAAGTAAACGAAAGTATGTAAGAGATGTTCCTCTTAAATTCGTGCACTTTCTTTTTCTTGTATTACACGCTCAAGCAGATATTTTATGCCCGAATCCGAAATAAGGAACGATAATTACGGTACACTCGGTATCGTTTACATACTCCGCACTTGAAAAGTGAGAAGGTCGTGTCGCAAGGTCTTTAATATTTCAATTGTTTTGCGATTTCGTAATTGCGTGTAGTCAATTTTCTACGGCTAAAACGATTACGGCACTCGATTGCGCACAATTTATTTATAGGTGCTTATGTGTACCTACACTTGTATTTGATTGTATCCGCAGATAATTCTTATCCTTCCTTTTCCTCCCAAATTGTTCTCAGCAAGATTTGTAGGGCAATGACACATGCAATTCATAGCTGCAATGTTATGAGTTTATGACACGTACTCATTGTGACGTAACTTATAAAACGTGCCAAATCATATAATAAAAGTGCTAATCTGTGTAAAGGTCGCAATTAAACAAGAATGAGCTTACTTAGTAAATCGTAAGTATTATAGTTAAAAGTGGGTTATATTGTGTCCAAATCTTATATTAAGATACCCTCGAAGATACCTATTACTTTTGTTCTGGCCCTCCTTCTAACAATCTCCACCCTTCGGATGCTTCGAAGTTGTTGACCAGGACCATGACCTCTAAGTCATAAGCAACGATCTGCAAAAAAACCTTTTTCCCATTTTAAATCCCTGTTTTGGAATATTCACCCGGTACCTATACAATCATCAATTTTCAAATGAACAATTGAGCCTTTTTGTAAAGAAATGTGGATAGCTATAGACGAGGCTATAGAGGTTTTAAGCACCACTCAAGTTTTTGTCCATCGAGACTGATCGAAACGAGTATCGAGACCATAAGTTTCAGCATGGCAGCTCAGAAGTATCGCGTCTTCCTAACTGCGTTCATAGACGAATATTTTGTACGGTGGAAAATTCTTTTAAAAATTTCAAACCGGTTAAAAACATGAATAGACTGAGTCTTTAAAGGATGTTTATATTCACTGTTGAAACGTCAAAATGTTCACTCGTCAATATCCTTAAAGGAAACGGTCTGTATCGATTAGAAAATTAAACTTTCTCAGCGACAAAAACTATCCATTGAGTCGTCCAACCTTGGAATACCGAATCACCTCCGGCTGATTGGTTTAATTTGGATAACTCGACCCGAATTCCCGTAATAGCGCATTAAAATCTCTCTGGGGGTCGACAATATTGCCAAAAGTTGGTGGTAATATCAAGGCTGGTAAATATAACCTCAATTCGAGTAAAAAATGTTGCGGTATAAGAGGAAATACGAGTTCATACTTAGGAAATATAAACTAAAAAGGAAATATAATTTCTCAATGAGGAAATATTTTTGCAAAATAACAGAGACGGTTTCCTCCGAGCCATTTGCCAATCCCACGCTTAGAAAATCAATTAGCCAGAAACCACGGCATCGGTATTTTTTTGGTGAGTGGTTGTCGTGCTCATTAGGAACGAACACGTACGTATAACCCATTAATTTTTCCTAATCTCCAGCCAGACTGGCGCGATGAACCTTGTCACGCAATTAATCTACTAGTGCTGTACATAAAAAAAACAATAGAGCAACAAAATGGAGAATTACGACTATCAAAAACCTTAAACAGTACACAGTCGCTCGATTTGGATGGACTGGTGTGGGAGAAGTAGTGTTGCCTGAAGAATTAAATTGGAGGAAATAATAAGTTACCTATTCATTGTAGCGATGTATTTTCTTTTTCTCTTGCCATCGTTGACATTATTAAGCGTTAGCGTTTAGTACCTGATAAAATAGTTAAATGAAGGTCCGTATTAAAAAATTCACAGATTTCGCAATCCTTGCAACCATCGGAGACATTGGAAATAATAACCGTATAACCCGAGGTATAACCTATAAAGTCATAAATAACCCTTCACACGGAATAATCTTAAACGTAAACTTTCTGAATAATAAGCGGCGTAAGTACATGCTTGTAGTACTATCACGGGAGATGTGCGAGAATTTTAAATTCGAATTAACAAAACCCCTGCGCACTGTTAAGTAAGTACCGTATCGACAGTGTCCGCGACTTTTCCTGAATCTCCCGATTGCAGTCGAGTACGGTACAATCAATACTAGACGCGACACCACTGTCTTTTTTTCTACTCGGTAAACCTGGTAAATTCATACCCATACAAAACATAACCATTTCCAATGCTAAAAATAAAGTTTCAATGATCCCAAAAAAACGAAACGTCAGACATAAAATCTTATTCATGCTAACTTGTAAGGGAGAAAAATTTGCAATGAGAATTTAATTTTTTTTCGGTTATTTCTGACAGTATGCGGAATTCTTTCACTTTCTAAATAGGGTTATTATTTCTTTTATTATTTACTTAATTCCGAGCTTAATTCATATTTCATTGATTTAAAGTTTGAATAATTTTTTTGTTGCTCAAAATTTAAAAACTTAGATTGAGTTTTAATTTTGAACTGCCATCGAGGCGATGACATAATTATCGGTTGCTATGAGTTCATTTCTTTCAAATCCAACTTGGATGAATATAAATATAGCAAATAAAATATGTGAATGTTCGTATTTTTGCAATATCTCTGCTTAGAAAACAGGTATCAAAATGGTGTTTTACTGATATTCTCACTTTTTCATCTTATTTGATAATATCATATAATAATTATATCGTTCCATTTGAAATTTTCAAAAAACCTGCAAAGTTTATGTTAATGTCACATCGCGCCCTCTACGACTCATGACATTTACTAAAAAGACTCTATTCATGTAAAATCTGATTCCACGAAGAGAGCTCCTTCCAACAAGACCTATTATGTGAAAATCTGTTAACCTAAACCCAATTTACATTCAATTCCTTAAATAGATGATTCCCACCTCCTTATATTTTATGAGTTAGGTTAGAGCAATATCTGTATCAAAATGATGGAAAATTGATACCAGATTGCTATGCATGCTTGTTGGGTATATTTTAGAAAAAAGGCAATTTTTTTACTTAACTATGATTCGAAACTAGAAACTTGAAAATAATTTCCAGCGATTTCTCTTGGCCCCTTTCGTTAACAAAAATTTTTTCCTGAAGCGGTGCAATTAACGGTTCCATAGACCTGAGACCTGTACCTATGCTGTGACTGCACGTTGAGCGCCAAATAAATAATGCTATATTCAATGGTATGCGGTCAACTACACCACCCACAAAACACCTGTCCAGCTAGCTCAAACAAATCAAAATTGAAACAGAATTTTTATAATTTCTCCACGGACACTTCCGGCATATGCTACAAAGAAAAATCCCATTGGCCTAAATTAATAATTTGGGAGACTTAGTAGCCTCGATCCACTCGCGAAAATTCCAAAGGAAGCTACACGATTTTTGGACGCGCAAACAAAAATCTGACATGAAAACTCTATGCGGGTAGTACAAAGGATTCAAATAAACACAGAATTAATTGATTGACAAATCAAACACATGAATGACAAATTAAAGCAACATTCCTGAAATAAATAAAAGCTTACAAAGTTGTTTAGACAACTTACCCCGCACACAGACGTTCGGCGTTTGAAAAATAGAAAATCTAAAAATTACAGGTTTTTTCTTTTTTAATTGTACTAATCTGGTCGTACAAGGGTTTGTTATAACCAAGGCGCACTCCACATACAAACGCTGACAACTTCTGAACTTCACTTTTCGTTAACACACAATGATTTTCGTGATTCTTGGTATTAAACGAATCGATGTTTTTACGAGTAACTTTTAGCATCTTTTATATGAATTGATCAGTACTTCCCGAAAGGTAATGTAATGGACTTTTTATGTGTAGAAAGGAAAATAAGTTATGGCCTCAGTTATGGCATAAATATTCTTACAAATAAGAACCTTCGCATTGCGTACTCTGCGCATGCTCACACCTGATTTTAAAAATATGCTATATGTTTGCCTTTATACTCGTAGAAGAATCTTTGGTTAAAATTTCAACAAAATATCTCTATAAATAAGAAAATTGGCATTGCGCATGCGCACATTAATCGTCAAGATTTTTTCTTAGTTGAGATGCCAGAGCTATAAGCTACCGACGGAATACAAAAAGAACGAACTAAATACTTATCTTGAAAACTGTAGGAATATCTCGAGGAGTACTTAGTTAAGGACGGAGAAAGTGACCATAATAGCGCCTTCCAATTTGAGTTCGAAAATGCGCTAAAAATCAAACAAGAAACGCAAACTTTGGGACATTTGGGGACGTAGCTTCCACACGAAACATCTTGAATCTTCAATTTATATTTAAAAAAATGCTTGTTTTGGTTCTCTCTATCACGCAATAAATAATTAAAATAATAAATAAAGTTAATGCAATACATGAGTATGAGTAGGTACCTAATTAGCAGTTCGATTAGCACTTAATTAAGAGTGTTGTTCCGCTCAGTGTAAGAACATATGTAACTAGCAGAATACGTTGTACACACTTTAAAAATTTCAAATAAAGGAGCCATAAATTTCGAGTTGGGACACTATTTAAGCAAATCTCGAAAAAAATGCCCTTATACAATGCAATTTATTTTTTCAAAATATTTTCCAACAATTTCCAAACAGCCCCAAAGAATACAAAAACTGTTTACCTCAAATTCCCTGAATTCCGTCCGTTCGTCTGTCCAAAGATTTGATATCTCGACAGGCCACGTAAAATGCAGCGGATTTTGCGTATTTAGGTTTTTAAGCTCTAAGCACGGTGGGTCTATACCACCATAGGACCATAAAGGACTTTACCGAAAAACCCAAGTAAAAACCGCTCAGTGTTCGTAGGGGCGTTCTCACTTTCTAATACGTTAGATAATCCTGTAGGTAATCTATAAACCTCGCTATAAACGTAACAGAGTGTTCCTAAATACGATGATCTTTGTATCTCATGCATTTTTTTTATTTACTTAGCTCAAATATGTTTTTTCAGGGGTCATGTTTCATTTTCTACCTCTGAACTTTTTTTGGGGCACCACTGGTAGATTGTAAAATGAGAGTTTGGTTTTCTGTTTTGTTTGGAAACTTTTTGGTCTCCAAATTTTTTGGTATTTGCGAGCGTAATCGAGAAAAAAATAAATGAAAGTAAAATTTTTAAAATGGTCCAGTTCATCATTTAATCACATACAAACTGCATTTTTCTAGGTGGTCCGAGTAAGTATACTGAGATCGAGACTGAGATCTCAAACAGGGAGGACGGCAGATTGACTTCTCGTAGGTTATGTAAGATAAACTGCTTTTAGATGAATATAACAATGAAAATAATGAACTTGATTTGAAACGAATTGCTTGGTATACTGGTTAGAAGGAATTTTTTAATATGATTAAAAATACATACAATGTTTCCCCAATGAGTGATTAAATCAATGATAACGTTTAAAAATAATGACTTTATTGATTTCTGATAAACATCTCGCACTTCTGATGTACCTATTTTAGTACTTGACAATGCACCATCGTGCATTTTTAAATAGGTTTCAATTCAATATTGATCTATACTCACAAACATAGAAATCGAAGGGAAACATACTTGTATAATCTACATGGAAAACCGCAAGGAAATGATTTTTTTATCGTACTACGCTGTAAATTAAAGTTTATTGGCCGATGTTAAGGGCCACAATCACACAAATAAAACTTCGCAAAACATGTAGTCCGGGACTCCTGGTTTGTGCTATAACTGCTAATTTGAAATAAAAATAAGTGTGCTTACCTAGTGTGGTAGAAGCTGTAAATTTGACATTATACTATGCCGCGTACATCTTGTAGAATGTAGTGTTTCAAACCGCAGAAAGCGGTATGGAGGCGTGGGGTTCCGCAAGGGTCAGTTTGTGGCCCTACTTTCTCATCGTCTATACGCACCTAATTAAGTTTTCTGTTTCGACATTGATTCATTTGGACACGCGTTTCCGCTGCATAATTAAGGGTCAAATAAAATTCAATAACAACTGGTATAAAGGATACACTCTCACTTTTTAAATATTGTCTAGCGATGTTGTTTTGATAGCTTAAATTTACGAGTTGTCGTAACTAGATGTATGAATTATTAATACAATCCGTCCACTTGACCCACATAGTACCTATATTTGAAATTATTAAACGATCAATCTTGAATTTATACCATTGTTACGTATTACTTAATTATATCATTAAACCTTTTCTGGCGCGATTTAATTTCGGGACCCCGCGGTTTGCAGACCCAAATTTGGCCGAATCGCCAAACCGATCTTTGTTTATTTATGATGTCAGGTTTTTTTTATTTTTGGTATAAAATCGGCCTATTTCCCCATATTTGTACTAATGATAATTAGTGTTAAAATTAGCCAGATGTCGTGACCCCCAGTATCTTGCTCATTCGATTGCATTACACATTTATCGAACTTTATTCGCTCCTTAGTCCTTATGGATCGGAATTTCTCAAATAATTGTATATGAGATGACGTGTATATACCGTTTACGCCTGGTAATTACGAGAAATGTATCATTTAAGTAATTAGTATGTTTAATGTCTTGTGTTACCGCCTTTACCCATATTGAAGATCGCGTGTGTCACTAAATCGTAATGAGTTTATATAAGACGGCCATACGCAATGTGCATTTTATGAAAGTATACAGTAAGACATACTTCAGGGTTAAAAATTTTTTCGAACCTAAAAGGCGTAGAATGAAAGCGAAAACTTTTCAGACTGAAGACTGAAACTGAAAATATCAGTAACCACACACACCTCATGATTTATATATGTATCTTAATCCATCAATTAATCTGTTTGAAAAACTCGCTTTGACCAATCCAATGCCAAATTTTAAGTCATTGACTTCTGCATAACTAGTTATTGTCTGGCCATTAAAGGATGTCTGAGCGTTTTAAAATTACTATGTACTTATTCCTTTATGTAATTTTTTTCGTGCCATTGGTTTGACGAAAGGAAGTTGAATAATGAGAAACTTCACCTCGTTGTTCTCTACAAGTTTCCGGCTAAAAAGTTATTACTTTTACAGATGAAATGCTGGAGGCGGAAAACCATGGAATGCTCGGGCGAGTGCAGGATTTAGAACGACGCGTCTTGGAGCAAGGGGATGAGTTGGTCTGTCTCAAAGCTACCCTTGCGGAAGCTCTCCGGCGGCTTAGCATCGTGGAGGGAATGCGCACACCCCATAGCCTAACACAGATATCGTCGAGTCCGTCAACGCCTGTACGAAATGGAACGTCCAAAGAACAACTGCGATTAAGACAGCCCGTAATTTCTAGTGCCAAGTGAGTATTTTACCGATGACGCTTGGGAAACTGACCCCAACTTAATTGCAGAATAAATCTCGACGCTCGCGAAATCAATCGAAGAAGCTATGCGGGTTCGTCACTGCCACAAAGACGTGCCGTCCACTATCAGTCAACGGGGTCGCTACATAGTGACAGTCAAAGTTCGAACAGCGTATCTCCCATCCCCTCGCCATCGCCCAGAGCTACACCATTACCTGTACCACCAAAACGCACACCTGTAGCGACTCAACAAAACGGTTCCAATGGGCTACACAAAAGGTGGAGTTCAACGGGAGACTTTAATAATGGCCTCATAAGCCCTCAGTCAAAGTAAGTCAATTTCCCATTTTAATCCCGTTTCCGCTTGCCTGAAGTAGCTGGAATGTTTCTTTTTTTTTCTAGATTTTCCACGAAGTCCTTCTTAAATTTATTTACGAAACCTAGTTCGGCTATGGCGAATGTAAAGCATGGGTATGTGCATTTTTGTTTTTCTTTAATTTTGTTATGTTTGCGTTTGAATAAGTTCACACCCTGCAACTCTTTTCGGTTACACTGTTACAGCTTCATGAAGAATTTGTTACTTTTGTGTAACTTGTGGAAAAGTAGATACGATTCGCAAATTAATAAATATAAAATTTATCGCGGATTAGTAGATTGGGTCCCATCTGGATTTCACGAAGATCCACGGTAGGTATCCCGGAAAGTAACAAAAAGTTTACCTTGGAGAGGTAGCAAATAAAATTCGCCAAAAACCAATTCCAATAAATACGCTGGTTGTTATCTGTCACCCATTCACCTAATTACGGTTAATTACACTTATCCAAATAGTCGGAATGAAATTTCTAAATTCGGCAGTTCAGCAATGCCCTTTTGTTTCTTGGAATGTGAGGTCAAGCGTCGCAATCGGTCATCACGTTGATATTTTCCTTAAAGTGACCCTCGAGGTCGCTGTTTTGGAAATTAGGGCAAAGGGGCTGTAATTTGATGAACAATGTAAAGTTGATGCAGATTTGTTTAACCCCACTTCCGCCGATTGTCGTGAGAATGTCCAAGATGAAAGATGACCACAGCTTGAGAAATTGATGAGAGTAGTACGAAAGAAGAATGCTTTGATCACCAAAAGGTCAATATAGTTTCGAAACCGCCCCAAATGGGTAGATAAAAAAGAGAGGGCCATATTGAGAACCAAAGTTATTGCGACACATGACAAATTATGCATTTCAAATTTACAAAGGAGAAAAAGATGTAAACAAAGCAAAGCGTTCAAACAGAAAAAGGTTCTGTACTTACTTAGGTTATATAGTTATTTTTTTTATTGAGTCATGCACGGTGGTCTCCCTGTTTGCCTGGATTTCCTAACCTTTTTTCGATTTTGTATGTTGGCGAGTGGTTCATGAATACCGTCCTGTATGTTTAAATGCGTGTGAAGGCTTCAGGCGCCGAGAAATCGTAGGAGAAGACAAGCTACTACGGAACGCTTTGGCAAGGGTCACATCCGCCGTCAAGTTTGCTACGTAGCGTGGAGGTGACTCATCAGGAACTTGGTCCACTTGGAATAAATTTATAGGGGTCAAGCCGTCAAATTCATTTCAAAAGATATTTTGCGAATTCGTTAGGATAAAGGCCAACAATAGCCAGCCGACGACAAAATTTGCATTATTTTTATACGATTTGAAAGTAAAACCAAAATTATTAGTTTGAGCGTGGATTTTCAGTCTTGGTTTTGTAAATAAGTAAATAAGTCAAAAGTTTGCGCAGAAGAACACAAAAATCGATTCTTAAAGGCTAATACAGGGTGTCCTAACTAAAATTTGCATCCGTTTCTACATCGACTTTCGGATAAATAAGAAAAAAATCCGATCAAATTACTACATCATTTTGAAAGGTTATTCAATCTGGATCGAACTTATGTTTAGATTTCCATCCGTCTGGTTAAATGAAAAATAGGATTATCACTTAAGCTGCATTCACAACCTCCAATTAATGTTTATAATTAATGAATGAAATTATTTCGTTAACTTTACACAAAGCAATCATTCACAATGCCTGAAATTAATACGTGAAATTAACCGTTCGTCTCGCGACAGTAATCACTTGGCTGCTACGCACATGCGTATTACACCTTCCCATTAATGCACAAAACTTTAAATTTAAATTTAGAAATGTGAATAAAGAAATACCGTTCTGCGCATGTGCGTAGCAGCCAAGTGATTACTGTCGCGAGACGTTCCTGAAATTAATGTCTAAGCAGTGTCGCCACCTATGTACCGGCGAGGCAATTGGTTAATTGTTTATACAACAAGTTTCAACATAACCTTGTAGCGCAAGCACAAGAATCAGTGTTTGTGTTAATAAGTGTCTTTTAACTATAACTAGCCTTATCCTAAAGTGGCAAGATACTTTTTTCTGTTCGCCACATTCATTGTATATGTAAACAAAATCAAAACAAACAAAACAGGGTTATGTCGGCTGTCATATAAAAGCACGCATGCGCACCTCTGTTCATTTCCGTAAAATTAAGCGACAAAGTTTGCAGTTTGCAAACTTCTGCGTTAAGTATTAATTTCGACGATTAATTTTCTATATTGTGAATGTTACCCTTAAAATACATAGCTTTAAACATTTACATTAATTTTCGATTGTTAATTGTAGGTATTAATTTTGAGGTTGTGAATGCTACTTTAGTCTTCAATTTACCCTAATGTTATTACTTTTTAGCTGTTACTTCAGGGATTTGAGAAAAATAGAATTTTTTGTTTCATTGTATTTAGCTCGGTATTTAGTTATTTAATAACGTAATGAAAATAGTAGTTGAATGCAACGGATGCACTTTTTGAAGTGTATGCGCCCCCACCCCCCTCTCTCACTCAACCCCATACTCGGCGCACGCACTTTTCTGAGCATTTCTCCTAGTCACGGTAAACGAAATTAATGTTAGATCTAATTATAGAATGGAATGAGCTTTCAACCAATATATCACAAGACCTATCATACCAATTAATTTATTAAGGAGGTGGCCACCCCGCCTAAGGGCATGAGATGAAAGTTTTGAAAGTGAAGTGATATTTGGGCCCTCTTCCACGTGTTCGAGTATTCGTTGAATTAAATTTTGGAAATTGATTTGAAAGAAGCGCACAAAGAGAGTGCATTTAGTTAGACATTAATTGCATCTAAGGAGTAACCCTGGCGGGGTTGGTTGATACTATGAACAAATAATTAAAACTTTTAGATAAATTGTTTGTTTATTACAGGTATAAATAACGAGGAAGGTATTTCTGAACCAACGTTCTTTTTAATAATCTTTTAACTAATTTAATTCTACCTTTATATACTCATACCACAGACAACATTTACAGATAGCGGAATTCCAACAATTCCACGGAAATTTGTTTGCCTTTCAGTGAAAGCCATTTTCACTCATTTAGATTTTGCTAATTTTATGCGATTACGGGATCAATTGTCTATAAAAATGTATTTCACACAGAGGCAGCCCACTTTGCACGATAGCGTGCAGTGTGTGCTGCATATCCAACCGAAAACTTGACATGCTTGCAGCGTATAGGCATTGAATGAACTACTTTAGAAACAACTAATTTCGTCTTTAAAAAAAATGTGATTTTCCTTTCTAGTGAGGAAAGTGAAAAACAATTTCTGCGTTAATTTTAATGACATTTAAAATTGAAACATACCGGAATTTACATTGCTTTGTCAAACTTCATTATTGTGTACTATAATTTTTCAATTTTGATTGTAGTTTCAGAAAATATCATTGTGTAAAACTTGGGAAGTAAGTGTTTTTCAACTCTCGTTCAATTGGCGCACTCGCTAGGCTCATGTGTCAAACCTTGAATTCGAGTTGAAAAACACTTTCTTCTCTAGTTGCACAAAAGGGTTTCTTTTATAATTCTTGTTACAAAAAACATATGAATGTCCGGTTTTGAAGAGAACTGATTGGTAAACGTGAGATTCTAGAGCAACTTGAGCCGAAGAATTTCATTGGAACAGAATTTATGAAAAATGTGAGTAACTAGTGAACGCGAAAGGGAAAAATTTGGTAAGAACGTGATGGAAGCAATAATTTCAAAATAGTTTCAGTAGTAAACGTAAAAGTAACTTGATAAGAGCTCTAAAGGAACTTCGTTAATAATTAGAGTGGTAAATGTGGGATGAGCTTGAGAAAAATTTGTTGGTAACTTGAAGGAGGCACGAGCTGTCGAATGACGAACTCCATCCTCAATCAATCAAATCGTACGGACAGTCCTTTTCCAACCGTCGCGAACCAGCTAGCCAGCCTCGTTTTTTCGTTGTCTGCAGTATTTAACGGAACACCACCTCCACCATCAATAAAGTCCTTCCAGTATTTTTTTACATTACAATTAGATTAGAAAAGTCCGGCGGAAAACGCGCTTGAACTCCCCACTTCTTTCGCTCGAGCCGCGCACACGTGCATTAATTAATCTGCACCAGATGTGCATTTTCGTTGACTTTGGCTTGATGTCAATAATTGTTATCGCAAATGACCAGATGTTTCTACATTTTATGACGCAATTTCACATTTTATAATTAAATAAACAAATTGAAATAAACAATACGCAATTACAAACAAATCTAAAAGGAAAACTAGCACTACAGAATACAAAGTCAAATGAAATAAACCAACCCTGTGCTTATTCGTAAATAATCCTCCGATTTATTTTAATAGAGTAACATGTTGCTTATATACAGTTCCCGTCATTATTTTCGGTGTTTAGATCTAAATATCGTCGACATAGCAATATACTTATAGTTTATAGTTGGCAACTCTGGGGAAAAATTACAAGCAGTGCCATCTAAATTTGATGCCAAAATGCCAGACGATTTGTACCACTGGGTCGAATAGGATTGCTGGGTTGTAGCACAACGTCGATTCTTTTATCTGTTGATGCGTGAGACAATCGGGAATGGAAAAGAAAAGACACTACAAAAATGAAATATATTACCTACTAACAAAAAGCCAGCAAAAAAAGCCATCATTGGACAAATAAACTTGGCATAATACAAACAAATACAAAAAATAAATCAAACTACTACAACGTGCAAAAGAGAAATACACAAATCAAACAACTAAAGTTGTAGAATAAAAATCAGGTAATCGATTCATCAATCCCAGTTATAATAAAACGAAACACAAGAGACATCATAAATACAATTGCAAGACGTGTTAAATTAGTACAAAAACACATCTACAATCAATTTAGATAAAATAACTCGTAAAATGATAAACTGCATGTACATACGAAACATCAAAATGGCATGACTGCTTCTGTGGCAGCCGTATTCATGTTAAAGTCTACTATAACAAACAGAGACACATTTTAAACAGAAATTTAATTAGAGGGTCTTCCTTCTAGTATTGCTAAGATAGCGGCAGTCCGCACGAGATGAGGAAGAAACAACGAAGAATCGTAACTGTATGAGATACTTCCTCCACT